GTTTGTTTATATATTTTTTATTTTCCCCCAATTTTGTCCAAAAGAAATGGTCAAATTGGACGGAGAGCATCATTGAACAACAACTTTCAAGTCTTGCCACAGAATCTTAATTAGATTTAGGTCTAGACTTTCACTTGGCCATTATAACAGATGAATCTTTATCCATTCCATTGTTGCTCTGACTTTTTATTTAGTTAGACATCAGTCTCAAGTCTTTTACAGCTTTCTACAGGTTTTCCTCCAGGAATATCCTGCATCTAGCCCCATCTGTCTCTGAGGAAAATATTTCACCCAGAAGGAGAATGATGTTGCCCCTTCTAGTTCCATCGTGGATGATGTGCAGTGTCAGTTTTGGTCGTTACTCATTTAACATTTGAAGGTATAGGCATAGTTTCCACATCTGGTAATGACCTTGGTAACACGCATATGGTTTTGCTGAGGCTATTTTTCAGTCAGCAGCACTTTGTTCAAAGGTTAATTATGGCATATGAAACTTGTTTTGCATGGTCACATGGAACTTTTTGAAAGTTCCAGGCTGTTTTTGTTTAGCCACAAGAAAAAATGCTCAATCTGTGATTCAGAAATATCTATAGTTATACATCCTTGCCCTTTCATAGAAAGCTTTTAAATTTTTGTTTCAGCTTTAAATATTTTCTAAGCATCATTTAATTGAAGAAATGTATGATTTTTGCTGTACTTTTAACTGTTGGTTATCTTAATTTTGAAGTAGATGCTTACCCTCTCCAAACCCATGTTGTCCAGGTGTAGTTTCTCCATGTAACGTCCAAAACTCTGAAAAGCATTGTCTGGGATGGTCTTCATGGGGTTCCTCCCTAGCATGAGCTCCTCCACCACTCGCAGTTTGCTCATGGCTGCAGTAGGATAGGTGGACAGCTTGTTGTTGTCTAGGTGAAATAGAGCTAGATTCTCTACATCATCTAGGGAGCCTGGATGCAGTGTTGTCAGCTCATTCCCACTCAGGTGCAGCCACCGCAGGTCCTTGGTGCCTGCAAAGGTGCCTGGCCGCAGTTCACGCAGCCTGTTATCGTTAAGCTGCAGAACAAAGAGGTTGATTAAGGGGGAGAATATTCCCTTAGACAGCTCAGTGATCTGGTTTCCATCCAGGTAGAGGTAGGTTAACTCGGTAAGATCCTCAAAAGCGCCAGACTTGATGCTGCTTATCTTGTTGTTGGACAGGTAGAGGTAGACGAGCTTCTTCAGTCCCTTGAATGCCTGGGATTCAATCTCTCGCAACTGGCAATGCTGCATGTGCAGCGAAATGAGTCCTTTGCTTGTGCTGAAGGCCCCTGTGGGTATGCTGCCCAGGTTGTTCCTTTGCAGGTTCATCAGACGGGTGGCCTCTGAAACCTGGGGGATCTTCTTGAGCCCCACGTTGTCACAGATGACATGTTGGAGGTCTCCATGGCAGTGGCAATGCTCAGGGCACTGGCTCAGGACTCCCTTCACCGCAGGCCCCAACACTAGGATGCAGGTTCCCAACAAGAGCATGCAGGTCACAGAACGCATCCTGGTGGCCTATAACGGAGAAACTTTGTCAGAAAGAAATGCTGAAAAAAATCTGTTAAAGGAGCAGTTAAAGCCAGAGTGGGTTTTTCCTGTGAAAAAATAGAGAGGAGTGAAAAGGTGAGACGTTCGGTTTGAGAGGAGGTTTGCTGATGATCTGAACACACAGCGCTATTTATAACATTTACTTGTGGAGGGAAAAAAAATGAGGAGGGTTAAAGTGAGAGGTCTGTACATGAAGTCAAGTGTCTGTGAGAATTTAACCCCCAAAGAGCAGCACAACAACTCCCTCTCTCTGCAGCCAGTTTGCAGGGGCATCCTGACATCCAGTGTGCAGCAGGAACCAGTCGTCCCAACATATCATAACAAACAGTGCCTATATGTTTTTATACATTATAAGAGGTTCCAGGTGAATGTTTGACAACGTGGCATGAGGTTAGTTAGGTTTTATGCACACTCCCAGACATCACTATTGTTTTTCAGTCTGCGGTGGCAGGAAAAGGAGCCACTCCTGTGCAGCTGTTTTATAACCTGTAATAGTCTCCAGATGGCTGGCATGAAGCAAGATGCAAGTCATCTGCAAAAAGAATACCACCACCATCTTGAGTGGAAATTTTTAAATGCCACTATGCATTCCTGCATGCATTGTTCCTTTTGAAAACCAAGAGTGGTGTTATGTAATGGAGATTTCCAGTTAAACCTCAATGCAAAGGCTGGAGCAGTTTATGTAATTTGGAGACCGTCTCTGGCAGGACGTGAATGGCTCAGGTCAGAGGACGGTTTGGCTTCAGTTTCATGTATTTTACGGTTCCACCCATGAAAAATGAAGAAAATGGAATGTAGTGTTTACCTAACAAATCTAACATTTTATTGGGAATCTTGGTTCCTCAGAGGTTTGGCAGGTAAAGATTCTTGTCACGGTTTCATCTGAAGGAGCCTTACATTCTGCACAATTTAAAGTTTCCAGTTGATGATGGATGATTCTTTTATGCATTTTTTTTATGAATATGGCTACCCTGGATTTAGAGAAAAACATCCCTTCCGGAGGAGGACATATAAAAAACACAACACTCTGTTATGCATGATAAACATGTACTTTCTGTGTCAACAGCTCAACATTATGGAAAGTGAAAAGGGCAGCTTCTAGTTCAATCTATTGAAAATGTGTTTGTTTGTTTGACCCGATGCATTGGTTCATCTAAGCATACAAATTGCAGTAAAGCTTTGCTCTAAGTCATATGACTTTTGACTTATGAATCTCATGGATCTCAATTTATGTAGGCAAGTTTGTGTTGAGAAGAGCAGTCTGCACATAGCATTGATACCAAGTGCTGGAAATATAGCTGAACAATACAGTAAAAATAATATCCCAAAGCAATACTGCTTAACTTTTGGCCTACACTGTAAGAAATTAAATCTCAATAAGTTAGTTTTTTCTTAAAATAAGTGCACTTTTTCTTGAATTTAGGAGGTAAGTGAGCCACTTTGCCGATGGAATAAGACAATTTACATTTAAAATAAGAAAAAGTAACGGTATTGTCTTATTTAAAGTGAGTATTATCTAATTTTCTTATTTGAAGAGTAGAAATACTCATTCCATTGGCAGATCATCTGATTTACCTACTCAAATTAAGGCTAAATACACTTAATTGAAGATTTTTTTTACTTCTCTCTAGATCATTTTTGCAGTGTAGGTAATAGTCTGCCAGTAGTCCAAAATCTAGTCTGCAGGGATGAAAGCTCTACAGTAACATGTCCTGGATGACAGCATCTGTTTTTCACAAGCACAGCCAACCCAGCTCCCTTGCTTTTGCCAGCCTTTTTTAAATCTCTGCCTGCTTGTATGGTCCAAAACCCTGGCAAAGGGTCACTGGGGTTAGTTTCAGTGAAATACATAATACTGCATTGCTGATATTCTTGCTGGGCCTTTGCTCCAGATTCGAGTTAATTTATCTTGTTTGCCAAAGATCATCTTTTGCCCAGAATTATATCTCGCCATCTCTCTAAGGATTGGGGACCAAAGAGCAGGAAGGTGTTTGCTTCTTGCAGCATCAGCAAAAAAGATTGACTCTTTTAGATGTTTTCTCCAGGCATCAGAATACAAATCAAGACCAAGTGTGAATCCTCTTAAGTATATCAAATATTAGATCAAAAGCCCATTCATCCATGAACTTCATTAGATTAGATTAGATGAGCTTAATTGATCTCACAGCGGAGAAATTCACTGGTCACATATTGGCATAGTAATTAAAGAAGGTGCAAACAAGGAGGAAAAGGTGCATTAAGAATAAACAATATATATACAGTATATCAAGGTATATACAGTATATCAAGATAAATAAGGATTAAGGTGCAAGTGTAAATGTATGAAAAACAAAATAAAAATAAGAAATAAAAAAAAATATATACAAGGGAGTAAAACAGAGATTTAAGGTGTCATATGTACAGTCAGGATGGCTTATATACAGGTGGATCGATTTTTACATTAAAGTGCAGTAGGTAAGGAACAACGGTGAGGTAGTGGTATGACTATTATATTCACATATATTGCACAGTCAGCATATTGCACAGAATATTGCACAGTCAATAAAAAAAACTTCAAAATCATATAAGTTACATCAGCAGTTAAAGCATTGAATTTATTAGACAGTTCTGAAAGCTTTGAGTTGTAATGAATCATTATGATTACAGTCTAAAATGTTCAGCTCAGAGGAACAACTACGCTGTTCAATGTATTTAATTATTTCTAAACACAGAAGTTCTATTTAAAAATGACTGAAATTTTCATATGATTAATATATAAGAGAAAGTGTTCATTTAAACAAGGCTGCAACTAAAGATTTTTTTTACAAATCAATTAATCTGTAGATTATTTTTTCATTAAATCTAATGATAATCAGATAGTAAAAGGTTCCTTAAAGATTTTATACGAAATGAAACCAGGTGAAAATAAAACTTTTCCCCTTGAGGAGTTCAGGATAGAGCCTACTGACAGACAAAAAAGATTTTTCTATCTTAATTAAAAAATGTTTTTATGTATATATTTTTTTTTTTTTTACAATTTTGGTATAATAGCTGCTGTGTGGCTCTGTCAGCTAAAGACACGTTTCTAGAGTCTCTACACTGCCGTTAACAATTAGTTCATATAGTCAGTTTCTTCCCAATTCAGATCTGTTTCTAGACTTAAATTGCAGTTTAGCAACTGCAACCTAAATGGTAAGCCAGAACAGTTTAAGCAATTAATTCTACCAAAGAATTCCAGTTCAGTTTCCTGATAACATTACTTCAAATATCTCAGAAAGGACATTGATCCCATCAGCTGAAGGCTGAGAGGCAAACAGGACTGCAGCAATCAGCAGCTAAGATTTTAATGGAAACTCAAGAAAAAAAGATAATAATATTTGAATGTAGTCTTTATCGGCATGAATGTGATCATCCTGACTTCTGTCTTCATTTTTTTTTCTTGTTATTAACAGATAGGATACGGCACCACAGAAAACAGCCCTGTGACGTTCCTGGGATGTCCTCTGGACAACATGGAGAGGAAAACTGAGACCGTTGGCTACATCATGGACCACATAGAGGTACAACAACATTCTTCTTATATTCAAAAGTCGATTAAAGTTATGTTTCTGTCCAATGTGAAAATCTTTTTTTTTTTAGATTATGCAGATGTTTTCTTAAAAACAAATAATGTTTCAATTTCCCTTAGGCTAAAATAGTAAACCCTACAAGTGGCCAGGTTGTGCCTCTGGGGGAAAAGGGAGAAATAATGGTCAGAGGATACTGCGTGATGCTGGAGTACTGGTATGAACAGGCTAAAACAGAGGAATGCATTACTAAAGACGGCTGGTATAAAACTGGGTGAGTCCTAAAATATCTCAGTGTAAAAACAATCCCCAACAAACAAACCATCATTGCTTGGACAGTAAACTATGTCCAGCCTTTTTTTTTCATTGGACTTTTAAAACAAAACTGCTGTTTTTCCTTGATGTCTTTAATATCCAGAGACATTGCCAGCTTAGATGCTTACGGCTACTGCAAGATCGACGGCAGGATTAAAGACATGATCATTCGAGGAGGAGAAAACATCTACCCTGCAGAGATCGAGCAGTTTCTCCACACACATCCCAAAGTCAAGGAGGCACAGGTGGGAGAGATTAAAAGCGCCATCTGTGGCCACAAACGGCAACTGCAGGACAAATTCTACAAAGGGGTCAAAATTAAAACAATCTTGGAATTTGTTTAGGATGATGCTGAACAGCATTGCAATCCTGCTTCAGTCAATAATTTGACTGATTCCTCATAACCCCACATGCTAATAAACTATAAACTCCCTTATTTTGAGTCTTTAATAATATATTTATTCTTTCATGTCTGTTAGGTGGTTGGAGTCCAGGATCCGCGTTTGGGGGAGGAAGTCTGTGCCTGCATTCAACTGGTGGACGGTCAAGAGTGCACAGAAGAGGAGATTAAAGCTTATTGCAAAGGACAGGTAGCTTTTTTTAAATTTTATTTACTTTTCATGCTCCTCCTGCTGTCTGAGTTTACTGTTGTGCTCAACATGTTCTTGTGCTTCTTCTTTCAGATCGCTCACTTCAAGATCCCTCGCTACATCCTCTTCATGAACAGCTTCCCGCTCACAGTTACAGGAAAGGTGAGTATGCTGGTGAAGATATTCAAGTCATCCAGGTCATAGTCATTCTAATAAAGTTAAAAAAAAACAATCCACTGGACTTTGTTTCCAAGTTTGAAGATGTTTCACTTCCCATCCAGGAAGCTTTTTCAATTCAAAATGTCAGAAGTAGCTTTGAGTTTGAAGCTTCATATACAGTAGTAGCCAAAAAACTTGTTTTTGCTTAGAAAACATGCAAATTGAACTGGAAGAACGAGTCCGCCCCTTAGGAATGGGGAGTCGTTTTGGGTTCTTTGTTAGCCTGCAATACCCAATACTGGGCTATGCCGCAAGGTGACGCTCAAAGTGAGTGTATTTGTTTTTCCTGAACTAACAGCTTTAATTTTTTTGGCTCAGTTATACACACATAGACAAAATTTTCAGTACCCCTCATTTAATGAAAGGAACTCCCACAATTGTGACAGAAATAACTTGAGTCTGACAAAAATTATGAATCAAACTTTATATGAAGTTGAACAAATGGAGACCACACATTGCTTTTAAATGAGCTTTCACAAAATTATTATAAACAATAGTTCAATGAAACAGGCCTGGACAAAGGTTATGGTACTCTTAACTTCATATTTTGTTGCATTACCTCTTTAAGCAATCACTGCAATAAAAATGAATCCTGTAACTGTCCATGAGACTTCTGCTCCTCTCAGCAGATATCCTGGTCCTCTACTCATGAACTAACTGCTCCAGTTGTCTCAGGTTTGAAGGTTGCCTCTCCAGACATTGCTGTTTCAGTTCCCTCCAAAGATGCTTAAAGGATTTAGGTCATAGAAAACCACTTCAGAATAGTCTAATATTTTCTTCTTAGTAATATTTGGGTGCTTCTAGCTGCCTGTTTTTGGGCATTATCCTGTTGACACATGACCCATGATTGATACCAAACTTTCTGACACTGGTCAGCACATTTCTCTCTAGAATCCCTCAATAGTCTGGTTATTTCATTGTGCCCTGCAGAGATTCTAGAAACTATTTTTTTCTGATAAAGCAATGCAGCCAAAAACATAACAGTGCCTCCTCCATGTTTCACAGAAGGGACAGTGTTCTTTTCTTTCTATGCCTCATGTTCTATCTGTGAACGTAGAGCTGATGTGCCTTAGTAAAAAGGTCAATTTAGTCTCATCTGTCCTCGAGACACTCTTCCTGAAAAGTTGTGGTTTGGCTTTTTCATGATTTGTTTTCAACAATGCTGTCCTCCTTGGCCGTGGTCGAACTTCAAGCTGTTGAGAGATGGTCTCATAGCCTTTATCTTTAACATTCTTGTCTATAATTTTCTTTCTAATCTCCTAAACCAAATATCTTCCTCACTTCCCTCTGGTCCATGTTGAGTGCGATAAACACCATGCAGCCAAACAGCACAATGACTACCTATAGCCCTATATATATTGACCCACTAACTTATTACAAGATTGTAAAAAGCTGTGATGCTAATTAGTGGACACTCCTCGATTTAAAATGTCCCTTTGGTCACATTGATTTCAGTCTTTTCCAAGAGGTACCATCATTTTTGCCTATGCCATTTTCATGAGTTTATTGTTTAAAATCATTCTGTAAAACCATGTCTGACTTTTATTTGCAAACAATTCTTGTATATTATTACTTTATTTAGATTTAAGTTGTTTCAGTGACCATTTTGGGTTTTTCCTTTAATTAAAGAGGAGTACCAAAAATGATGTCCATGTATGTAAAATAATTGCACCCAAAGCAAAGAGCAGATCTAGATTTAGAAGTTCAGCAATTATGTACTTCCTGAACCCTTTTTTAGCCTCATTATCAGATGAATCCAAACCCTCTACTTAGGACTCCTTTGAGAGCCACTGAGTCCACCCACAAAGGATAGAAATAAAACATGAAGGTTTCATCTTCTCCCATCTGGAAAATGGTTTGCAATTTAGATACCTGCTGTCCAGGTTTACTGTTAGAGACCCTTAGTTTTCTTTTTAAATAAAATATACAGTTTTGCATAACCCCAAAATATGTGTCATAATTTATTCTCAAATATGTCCCTTTATATTCACAGTGGCCCCACAGTTTACTTTTTTAATCCTTTATAGATTTACATAGACCTAGACAACTTTTATTGTCATTTTGTATACATATTACGTGTACAAAACTAAATTTTATTTTGAACGGCTTTCATACAATAAATAAGCATCAGCTTGGCAGTGAAATTAACAATTCCATTTCATAAAGTGCAGCAGTGATCAAATGTAAGCAGTATGGGAGAAAAGACATGATGCAAAAAACACAACCATATGGAAGTTCAGAGCATTTCAAGACAAATGTATATGCTGCAAATAAGTAGCATTTTCATTTGGAGTTATCAGGGTGATGCAGAGTCTGTGACTTGAGTTAGAGTTTTTTTTTCTAAATTAAGTTATTAAATGCAGTACATATCTATTTTTTATTTTTTTTTTTGCTCAATACATTTTGTTGTACTTCTGGTTCCGCCTGTAATCTCTGTTAATTGAACAATTTTTTGCATGCTGCTAGAGATAAAGATTCCCGCGAGAGAGGGAGGCAGGCATCAATTATTCAAATTCCTGGAAACTAATCTTAATGCTTTGTATTTTCTAAAATAAACGAAAAAGCAAACAGACAAATTATTCCTCTACATGCAGAGGACATAGGCATAATACATTTTTTCTACAAAAAAAGTTTCAAACATTTCAGCTTATTTGAGTTTTGTTCACATTAAAACTTGTTAAAAGTTTGATGTTATCTAAATCTTTTTTTTTTTTTTTTTTACACAGATCCAGAAGCACAGACTTCGTGAAGAGGCTGAGAAGCAGCTGGGCTGAGGAAGGAGAAATGACAGGAAGGAGAGCATTCAGACTGTTTTCAGTATATAAACTGTATATACATTGTATACCAAAAACTACAATTTGGATTAGCCCGACCAGCCATCTGGAAAAGCTACTCTTAATATACAGCCTAAGCCTTTACTGGATGAGTGATGGGATGGTAGGAGGCTACAAATCTTTAGAGTGAGATCAGCAGGTCAATTTTGAAATTACACCATCCTGCTTGTTTTTAAGCTGTTTAAAGAAATATACATTGATCCATCATGGAAGATGTTACTACAAAAACACATTACATTCAATGAAGATAGAGGTTCAGATCTAGGTGCAGCAGAGAATCATGATGTGAATCCTAAAATCTACCATGTGATTGGATTTTTAAGGATTTTTCTCAGAAATGTCATCTGAGGCTAATTTAAACCAGAAGACTTGTTAACTTAATGGCCTATTAAGTTTTTTTATTCAACAAAAAGCCTCAAAAAGTTTTTTTAATCTCAACATGAAATAAACTCTATTAAAGCCATGCTGTGGGTGTTCCTCTTTTACGGGAAGAGCGAACACATTTTTCCTCATGCCAGTGGCAGGTGCACGCCTCTCTGGGCCTTGAAATACCATTCGTTCTGATTGAAAATGTAGAAAACATGGCAGACATGCTAAAAGCTGTAAAGAATTTCCTGCCTGGACGACATGTGCGGTCCACCTGACGCTGGGCTGCAGGATCGGGTGGCGGCTTCTGTCTAGACCTGAGGGATTCCACCCAAAAATAGCTCCTAAAACAAACCTTGGCTTCTGGCTCTTACCTCAAGTTCGGTTTTCTTTTGTTTAATTTAACATATTTTAGGTGTTATTAAATGCATTAGAACATTTCATTCTTACTGAAACAGCCGAGAAGAGGTTGACTAAAGTGGGCACCAAAGTTTTCTTTGGAATTTTTGGAATCATTTGCAGAAAAAAAAAGAAACAATTTGAAATCCCAAATATGTCATATTTATCTAATATTCATGGTCATCTATATATATATATATATATATATATAAACATCTCTAAATATATGGAGTTATTTTTATCAATGGTATTTCTTCCTGGCAACTTATCTGAGATCTGATTAGTTTATTCAAATCTCTCTAGAACCTTATCTTTTATTTCAACATTTGAAAGATGAAAAAACATTTTCTAAAATTATTTTAATCCAACTTTAAGAATCAGAATCAAGTTTATTGCCAAGTAGGTTTGCACTTACTTGGTGTTGATGGTGCAGACCAAATATATATATATACAGAATCTAGCTATGTAAATTGAAAATATACAATATACTATGTCGAGGGAGGAAGAGAAGCAGTGTCAGTGTCACGGGGGTCTCTGGGCCTTGTTGATAAGGCTGGCAGCAGATTGGAAGAAACTGTTCTTGTGGGGTGAGGTTTTGGTCGTGATGGACCGCAGCCTCCTGCCAGAGGGAAGTGACTGAAATAGTTTGTGGCTGCGGTGCGAAGGATCAGCCACAATCTTCCCTGCATGCCTCAGAGTCCTGGAGGCGTACAGATCCTGAAGGGATGGAAGATTGCAGCCAAATACCTTCTCTGCAGACTGGATGACCCTCTGCAGTCTGCCCTTGTCCTTGGCGGTGGCTCCAGCGTACGGCATGGTGGAGGTGAGGATGGACTCAATGACGCAGGAGTAGAAGTGCACCATCATTGTCTTTGGCAGGTTGAATTTCTTCAGCTGCTACAGGAAGTATATCCTCTGCCGGGCTTTCTTGGTGAGGGAGTTGATGTTCAGCTCCAACTTTAGGTCCTGTGAGATGATGGTTCCCAGGAAGCAGAAGACTTCACAATTGTGGAGTCAAAGACGATGATGGGATAGCTGGGGCTGAGTTCCAGCTTGTGTATTAAAACTACATATCACTTCACTTTTACTTTATTTTTTAGCAAATAATCCAACATTAAACAACAAAACAACACTATCAAAACAGAACAAAACCAACAATTTACCAAAAAAAAGGAATAGGCTGAAGCAAAGCTTATTATTGCCTTCATTTTTTTTAAGTTGTCTATATTAATTGTGCACACTTAGATCCCTGGTAGCTGCGACAAAATGAACCATATTTTATTGGTGCTTTTTCAAAAGACTGAAAAGGAAATGTAGCAGCTATTTAAACATATTGGATCATCAGTGTGACTGAAAACCTTAGTAAGAGCAGAGAGGAGTCAATAGATTAGGTCATTTACTGCTACTCTTTGCCTTGGCTTCTTTTTTCTCCCTGTTTTTTCTTCCTCTAAGCTCTCATTATGCTCATCATGCTTTTCATTTGTGACAATCTGCCAGATAAATTCAATCAATTTAAAACCGTTTAACAGCTGGTCAGAAAAGGTGGAGTAAGCAATTTTATATGCTTTCATTTTTTAACCCTAAAACCCAACAAAGTAAGTTCTTCTGCAGATGATTCTGTTCTGCTGCAAAAAAAAATTATTCCTGGTTTCCTTTTAAAGCAGAAAAATAACAGAAAACGAACTTGCATCAGGTTCTTTTATTATAGAATCCCACAGAAGTTCAACCAAAATGCATCAGCACATGAAGCATCTGACCTGTCCTGGTTTGGTTAAATCCCAATAAACTCTTCGTTTAGATCATTTTAATGAGCAACGCAAAGTTTTATTTGTTTCACTATTTGATCTGCTTATCATGGGACTTTTTTCAGATTTTTGTCTTTATTATACATGTTTGCTTTCCGTAGATGGTTCCAACCTCTCTGGTCGATTTGTTTTCCCACTTACAGACTGAAGAATCTGTAAAACTGCACGTGGACAAACCAACAGTCATTTTACATCTACAATTTTGTGGAAGCTGTTTTTGTCCTCTTCCTGCTCCACCCTGCACACAAACACCATCTCTTTCCAAGGTTTTTTTCCACTTGGGTGTGAAAGACCTAGAGTGGCCAGGCGACAAAACCTGACCTCACCCTCATCCAGAGTCCCACAGAGTTAAGTCCAGACTGCATTAATGGGGCTAAAAAAGCAAACCCCAGTCTGCAGTGTCTCACAGAGGGCTTTTGAGAGAAAAGGCTGAGCCTTGTTTTAGGAACAAAGAGTCACATTGAGTCCTCATTCTTTGGGCAGCGGGATCCCAACTGCAGTCTGGCATCCCTGCATGTGCTGCTGAGCCTGCCTCACCTGCTCCTCGCTGCAGCAGTCCTGCAGGAACACAGTCGCCAGGTTGCGCAGACGTGGGCTCTCTGCGAGCGAGAAGCGCAGCATGCACTGCAGGATTCCCGGCTCTGAGATCTGGGAACGAGTTGTGGGCGTGGCGAGGTTCATGAGGGTGGTGATGGCCGACAGGACGGTCTCTTCCCGCCTGTTGGACAGGCAGTTTGTAACCAGGCTGATGCCGCCGCTCTGCAGGATGACGTCTCTACATTCAGGGTCCATGCTGAGGTTACACAGCCCGCCTTACAACACAGAGAGGATGATTTTTTTTTATTTAACAGTACAATAAATTATGATGCTTTACTATAGAAAAAACTGAAAGCATGCACCATTAGAGAGGCATTTCTAATTTGACTTAAAAGTAAATTAGAAAAAAAGCAATCAGTTTTCTAAAGTTAAAAGATTGCTGTTTTTTATGTATGAGTATTGCTGGCATCCCTAAGGTATCAGTGTATGGACCAATTATGTTTTTTTTTATGTTTATTTGAGTTCAGTTATTTATTCAATGAAAAATTCTAAAAAAAAGTCGCAAATTCCCACCAGAGATGAGAAAGAAATCAAAATTCATACTAACAAAATAAAGTTCTACTGAAGGCTTAATTTCAATGAGTCACAGTCCAGTTCTAAATTTTACAGAGGATAGTGGGATTCCATTTAAAATGGCAATTAAATCAATAATAATCTAATTTACAAAGGAAAACTAGTTGAATCAATATTTTGATTTTACAGCAACCCCTCCTAACAAGGTCTGCACAGGAAAAAGCAAAACATCAAATAACTATTTGAAATTAGAAAATTTAGATATTCATGCAAAGATTCCAATAGATGGGAGAAGCATTGAAAGGATCATTGTCAAACCTGAAGTAGGGGTCAGAGACACCAAGTAAGAGGGTTACAAGTTGTTTATTTCAACTACCGGTACTGTAATGTGGTTCGTAAGGTATATGGAGGGCCAAAGTATCTTATAATAAATGAACCATTAAATAAATAGATGTAACATTTATTTAATACATAATTTAAATATAGTACATAAAATTTAAATATAGACTGCATATCACACTTAGAATATTATATTTGCACTACCAACGTGGCTGATTTTTTTTTTGATATAGTCCCTTTAAATAGCACACAACTTAATGTTCTACTGCATTTTGGATCATATTTATTTATTTTGCACTTCACAGAACCATTCCATGTCAATGCGTTTTACACAACTGGTCTCTTTTTCTTCTAAACCGTTTACATTCTTGATCACTGCTGCACTTATATTTATATAAATGGTAATGTTCATTTTACTGTTGTAAGCTGCTCATTCACTACTGTAAGCAGAGAAATGTCGTTATGTATACACTGTGCATACAACACGACAATAAAGTTTGTCTAACTCTAATACACACTAATTAATTATATATATATATTTAAATACATGCATACATACACCCTAATCAAAAATATGAAGAGAACACACCTATAAAACATCCTAGGTTTGAATTAATGCAATTTTCTCATTGAATACTTTGTTCTGGAAAAAATTGAATATGCTGAAAACATAATCACATAAATTATCAATGGAAATCAGATTTAATAATCAATGCAGGCCTGGCTTTCAATTCAAAAATACTTTTATTGATCCAAAAGGCAAATAAAATATTGCAGCAACTCATAGTTTATTTTTTATCCAGGTGTTTTAGGTGTTGGTAGCTGTAGGCAGGAAGGATCTTGTGTAGCGGTCTGTCATGCACCAGATCAGGAGAAGCCTCTGATGTTGTTTTAACAATCTTCTGATGAGGATTTGGAACCATACACAACATTAAATTTGAAAAACCCACCACAGGCTGATCCAACTTTTATGTAATGTCCCTAAAACAGGTGAAAATGAGGCTCAGTATTGTGTGTGGCCTCCATGTGCCTGTATGACCTCCCTACGACAGCTGGGTATGCTCCTGATGAGGTGGCAGATGGTCTGAGGGATCTCCTCCCAGAACTGGACTAAAGCATCCGCCAACACCTAGACATTCTGTGGTGCAACGTGACGTTGGATGGATCGAGACATGATGCTCCAGATGTGCTCAATCGGATTCAGGTCTGGGGATCCAGCGGGCCGGTCCATAGCTTCAATGCTTTCATCTTGCAGGAACTGTTGACACTCCAGCCACATGAGGTCTAGTGTTGTCCTACATTAGGAGGAACCCAGGGCCAACCGCACCATTATATGGTCTCACAAGGGGTCTGAGGATCTCATCTCAGTACCTAATGGCTGTCATGCTACCTGGGGCGACCACATGGAGGGCTGTGCACCCCTCCAAAGAAATGCCACCCCACAACTTTACTGACCCACTGCCAAACTGGTCATGCTGAAGGATGTTGCAGGCAGAAGATCGCTCTCTGCAATGTCTCCAAACTGTCATGTCTGTCACTTGTGCTCAGTGTGAACCTGCTTTCATCTGTGAAGAGAACAGGGCACCAGTGGTGAATTTGCTAATCCTGGTGTTCTTTGGCAAATGCCAAGCATCGTGCACAATGTCGGGCTTTAGGCACAACACTCATCTGTGGACGTCAGGCCCTCATACCATCCTCATGGAGTCTGTCTCTAACCATTTGTGCAGAAACATTCCTATTTGTGGCCTGCTAGAGATCATTTGCAGGGCTCTGGCAGGTCCTCCTGTTCCTCATTGGACAAGGGCAGAGGTAGCGGTGCTGCTGCTGGGTTCTTGCCCTCCTATGACCTCCTCCATGTCTCCTGGTGAACTGGCCTGTCTCCTGGTAGCCTCACCATCCTCTGGACACTACTCTGACAGACACAGCAAGCCTTCTTGCCACAGAATGAATTGATGCACCATCCTGATGAACTGCACTACCTGAGCCACTTGTGTGGGTTGCAGAGTCCGTCTCATGCTACCACTAGTGTGAAAGCACCAACATTTAAAGGTAACCAAAACATCAGCTAAAAAAAGCATAGAGTGGGTACTGAGAAGTGGTCTATGGTCCGCACCTGCAGAACCACTACTTTATTGAGTGTGTCTTGCAAATTGGCAATAATTTCCACCTGTTGTCTATCGCATTTGCACAACAGCATCTGAAATTAACTGTCAATCTGTGCTTCATCCTGAGTGGACAGTTTGATGCTGCAGAAGTCTGATTTGATTTAACTACTCCCTTTATTTTTTAGCAGTGTATATATATATATATATATATATATATATATATATATATATATATATATATATATATATATATATATATATATGGGTGAAGTAACATTGTGTATCTTTAGGGGGTCAGCAGTCTGTTGCATTGTGATTGTGAGGGCCAGACTGGTAGGAAATTATAATTTATGGTTATTTCCAACTTAATTAAAATGTAAACAGATTTCACCCTTTGAAAATATTTTCATTGTTTCTCTAGTAATTATTATATGAAAAAATATGAAATGAAACTAAACACACTCACCCATGCCAAACTCTATAAAGTTCTCGTTCTCCTCGGTTAGCATATCCAAGAAGAGGTCAGGCACCTGCAGCTCCCGCAGATACTCCATGTTCTTTGGGTCATATGCAAAGTTGGCGAGGTTGGCCAGAACTTGCTCTTTTGCCTCTAAGTGAAGAACAAAATCAGTCAAAAATAAATAACTGAATATTTTAAAGATAAATATGGTGGTTCAACTTCACTAATATGCTTATCGAGTTTCCTCCAATAGGAAGCACTTTTTCTAGTGAACAGTGGACCTGGGTGGACAGGGAATTAGAAAAGGGTTTTCTATAAATATAATGCAGTTTGTCACATTTTGATCATGCCTGAAATATCTGCTATGATCTAAAACAGAGGTTTGCAACGTTTTCCAGGCCAAGGACCCCCAAACTGATGGCGAGAATGTTGTGAATGAAACGGTGCCCAGCTTGAAAGAGACTGAAAGACATCTTCTGCCTCCATTTATCTGTTTACTACAGTATGTTGAATTCATGTTAATGTGTATTTAAAGACATTTCAATTAGTGGAAAAAATAGCAGGGGGGAATATAAAAAATAAAAGTCTAATCAACCAAAACTTTCACGACCCCCATGCAGTACCTACGTGGACCCCCTAGGGGTCGCAGTAGACCTACGATCTAAAATATGATTTTCAGGAAAAGCAGAGCCTAATTTGGAAATCTTGATGCAAAGGGAGTTTTTAAAGTGAAGTTTATTTTTAGGATAATTCCACATAAGGATAATTCCACAAGCAACATTTGCAGCCATTAGACCAGTCATGAAGGGTTTCTTGGCTATAATCTTGGAAGCAGCTTGAGTTGTTTTCTGTGCTTTACAGTAAGACTAATAAAAAAAGACCGGATAGTAAGCCTTATATGTGTTTTCTGAATACCTTTGACAATTTAATTCAAAAGTAAATCCAACAGATCTGTCTTATTCAAGTCTTCCTCTGTATAGCAAACAAACTTTGTAAACCTACATATTATGGTTATTGTGGTTCGATACACCATGCTCCCTCTAAAACAGGTGTCTTCTTGTTTTTACTTTGTTAGTAATATCAATCTTTTTATCTTATTTTAGTTTTTTTCTGTAAAAAGAGCATTAGATGTGATAAATTAAAGCTGTTGTCACCTTCACTGTCGGTGTTCTGAAATTCAGTGACTAGTGATTGTAAATATTCAAACCGCTCTGGCGCTTCTGTAGATTCATCCTTCCTCATCATTATCAGCTTCCAATTCTGCTTATTACTGCTTTAAGAAAAACCAACCGCCGATTAAACCGATTACAAGCAGAGATTTAACAAAATAAATGCGCATATGTTGCTTGTAGTTGTCCGTCTATGAAATGCGTCCGTTTAATCAAAAGAGTAGTAGAAACAGTTCCGGGTTTCCAAGTGTTGTAGCCAGTTCTGTCTTCAAGATAGAAATGTGCCAAAAAAAAAAAGAGAGAGAAAAATCGGAACCTACAGCGTTGGGTTTCAGACGCCTCGGAAATAAGAACTTCAATATGTGAACAAATGGAACAAGCTAAAAAAGATAAAAACAGTTGTATTTGCTTTTTGTTGTTGTTCATAGACTTTAGGAACATGTTTACAGAGAAAGATTGCAGTACACAATGTATTTCACTCGTTTAACAAAATACACACTACTTTCAAGGATACGTTGGTAGTATGAAACTTACAATTTTAGTTTTTATATATTTAGCAACAATATTGGAAGCCAAATGTGCTTGGGGACCCTCAATTATGCAGTATGGAGACTTTGATTATATCGACCAGTCAGCAGGAAGAAAATCCCCCTCTTTCCTCTAGCTAATCTGCCCTTCCCTCTGGAGATATATATGTTACGAGGCAATCTATTCTATTCTGTCTTATTCTATTCTACTGCTGATCATTTAATTATCATATATTTTCAGTATTATCTCTTTACTACAGGGGCTATGACAGTTCTACAGGGGTCCTGGCCCTTCTTGCCTCCTGTCCAGAACCACCCATAGATTAATTTTTATACTTTCTATATTGACATGTTTTTTCTCTTGGATCGGCATCTAGGTTTTAACTGCATATAGCCAAAACACACCCTTATTGATTTAATGAAATGTTTTACTGTCTTTCATCAGTCTTGAGCTCAATAATCAGACTGAGCCCTCAGATGTATGGAGCTTATTGAGAGGCAGAATGTGCATGTCTATATGGTAGGAAAAGTTATTAGCAAATGAGTTGGAGTTCATTTGACAGCTGAGTTCAGCATCAATTTCTTAGAACAACTAAAACAGTTATATACAGTTATAGGTATTCAGAAA